GAATGACTTTGGAAATTCTGTGAGTAACATCAGAGGACCAAATGAATACACATATTTGTAAAGGAACATTTAGTTACATCAAGCTATTTAGATAATGAAATGGCTCCCAAAAACCTGTATAGTTCAACGTCAAATTTTGTGCCATTATTCATAACATTGTTTGAGTTGTTGACACTTGAAAAAATTAAAAACCTTGCATGTTTTCTAATTTTAAATAATCTGAAATTGAATTGTAGGCACCATGCAGTGGCGTAGCGAGGTCGGGTGTCACCCGGTGCGGCACTTAATGGTGTCACCCCCCCCCCAGAGGCGCAGGGACCCTTCCCAGGGACAAACTTTCAAATTTTCTATTTGCATCCTCCCCTCACCCCCCCCCCCCAAACTTTCGATTTGCACCCCCCCCAAGTTTTTCTCTATATATATTGCTATTTTTTGCCTTGGTGTCACCCCCCTAAATGGTGTCACCCGGTGCGGTCCGCACCCCCCGCCCCCCCCCCCCCCTCGCTACGCCTCTGGCACCATGGCTACACAATTTTCCTTTAAATTGTGTTCCACATACATTTTCTTATTAAGTTACATTTTACAATCAGCTGAGTGCTAGAAATTAAGATGCCCTTACTATGATTCGATGACGCATGAACACTCATCTGAAAATTCAGAACATGTTGAATCTTTTTGCTTGGTGAGTGAAAAAACAAAAACTTAGTTCAGTACACAAAAAGCGTGTGCCCAGGGACTGAGAAGATGTTCCACATACCCATAACCTGTTTAGTATACTATAAGTAGGTCAAGCCTAGTATACATGTTACAAGTGTAAATGCTGTGTAAGAAAACAGAGATCTTCAAAATTTTGAAAATGTACTCTGTAACTTTAACTTCAGGGGCCATTAGGGGTGTTCTAACCCCTCCTCTTTCTGTCACTCCCTCCCCCTACCCCCAGAGACTGTTGACCAAATTATGTGAATGATTCAGTTTTTTATGATTTATTGAAGTTGTTAGTTCCAGACAGTAAATTCTATAACATCAACTTAAACTGAAATTTACCTTACATATAGCTAAGGGAAAGCTACTGATACGATTGACACTAAGATTGAAGTGTTTGAGATGTGGAAGACCAGCAAATGTCTCTGGAACTTCTTCTATTTGGTTATCTTCTGCTAGTAATACTTGTAGTACTCTTAGGGCTCCAACACAAACAGGAATGGAAGTAAATTCATTTTGTGAAATCATTAAAGTATGAAGTTTTTGTAATGTGCCCAGCTCTATTGGTAATTTGGTCAATTTATTGTTTACAACACTGAGAATCTGAAAATGAACACAAAAATAATTATTACAATTATAATGACTCAATTTCTATATTTGTTACACCTGCAAGTTTAACAATTATTCTTGTGTGTAAGTTTTCTTGTTTACTAGCATTTTAAGACTGATAGTTCTAATGAAAATTACAAAGCCGAAAATCAACTGGAGAGTATTTTAATTAAAGTAAAGCTTTTGCCAAAAGTTTATATATTATGATATTAACAATGAATATAGATAAAAACTTTAATAGAATTATATCCACAAGTTACCTCTAAACTGCAACATAGGCTGATACTATCAGGCAATTCTGTGAGGTTGTTGGAGCCAAGATTAAGTTCTTTCATGCAGTAAAGATTAGCAATATCTTCAGACAAGCTTGTTAGGCAATTATTATCTAGTGCTAAGAAAATAAATGCATATAATGTACTTATTTGGGCACTGGAAAAATGTATCAAACTGCAGTAGAAAACTTCTTATCAAGTAATATTTTGAATAAATTTTTTAATTGATATATACTAGATATAGCTACATACCTAACTTTTCAATTTGGGTAAGCTGCATCAATTCATGTGGCAGATCAGTGAGTCTGTTGTTACTCAACCCAAGCACTTTAAGCTTGGTCATGTTTTTAATATCTGGCTGAATCTGTATAATACTGTTACCACAAAAGGAAAGTTCAATCAGTTCCTGCAGCCAGAATATCTGTTAAAACAAACTATGAATGGACATCAGGCAGCTCTAGCATGAAGTAGCATTTAAATATATAATTTTTCTACAATAAAAAAAAAAAAAATTGATGATTGATTAATTTTAATCTACCATAACAGATAAAAAGGCTGTAAAGGTTTAGATTCCATTTGCATAAATGTTATATGTTTAATAAAATCCAAATATAGAATAATAAACAATATAAAATTATATTATTGTAATAGGGCATGGACATAAAAAGTCTACTGTAACTGTACGGAAATTGGTAAGTGTGTGTTCATGCTGGAATCCAACAACAATGTGGTTTTTAGGGGAAGTCTTAGACCCTAATAAAATATAGGTTATAGCTATCTTTTCAAAGTGAACCACATTATATAGATTCAAGGTGAATGCATGCTTATAAACATTATGATGAACAGCAAGTCATTTTGCTTTGTAATAATATATTCAATTACATTAGATATTTTAATAACTAACTCAAGTATTTGAAATTTCTATCTTCAATAAAAAATAAATTCATAAAATGTTTAGCATTTAGAGTGGATGATGGACCAGAAAATTTTAAAATTTAATTTATATTTGAAAATATTTAAATATTTTTCTTTGTTAATTATATTTAGGCATTAATTATGTTAGAACTGTATAATTATCATAGCTTGTTTTTTACCTGTATAGGAATAAATTCAAACTGATTATCATCAAGTAGAAGTTGCTGTAAGTCAGTCATACCTTCAATTTCATGAGGTAAATTACTCATCTTATTTCCTGTTAAACCCAGGCGCCTAAGACTTTCTATTTTGCAAACTGATGGATTGAGGAACTCCAACATATTTCTTTCTAGAGCTAATATCTGACAAAATGATATTGAAATGTATTTAATAATGTAACTATAATAAAGTTAAAATGTAAACTTATATTCTTTACAGTACTGTCTTGGGGTGGGAGGTGGGGGAGAGATACGGAACACAACCTTTGTGACAATGTGTGACATCACATTATAAAGTTTTACAAATGAGAGTGGAATTGAGCAGTTTTCCTATAATTTAAAAAAATATATATTTATAAATTGTAATAACACCATATTAATATTTTGAGAAAGAAATAAGATTTTTTTAAAGTGCGAATTTGTGGGAATAGACTGAAGTGTGACAAGTTTTTTTTTTAAATCATGATATGTATTTTATCTTTATTTAATCTTATATATTTCTTAAAATCTTAAAATACATATACGTTGTATGGTTTCATTTCTAAAACAAATAAGCATTTTTAAATGCCTAGGCATTGTTTATGTGCTGATCTTGAAATGCAAACAATTAAATAAATAAATAATTATACACAGTTAAACTCCTTTAAGTAAATTAGTAATAAAAATAACTAGCTTACTTGTAAATGCTTAAGATTTGCCAAGCTATCTGGTAGTGAAGTAAGAATATTATCATTAAGACCAAGAACACAAAGCTCTTTCATATCTCCTAATGTTGATGGTAGATTTTCTAGTCTATTTCCATTGAGGAGTAACTGGGTTAAACATCTTAGACAACTTATTTCAGATGATATTGTTGAAATTTCATTATTTGACAGATCAAGTACCTAAAAGATAACAAAACTATTTTAAAACCCAAGGCCTATATATATGTGTGTATATATATATATATATATATATATATATATATATATATATATATATATATATATATATATATATATATATATATATATATATATATATATATATATATATATATATATATATATATATATACACAAATAATGTATGTTTGTTTAAGACTTTGGGATGTGTTGTTGATTATACTCCTGTGGAAGTTTCAGCAGAGAAAAAATGTAAATTTTAAAAGATCAGTGCCCAGGCAAGCCCTGGGCTTTCCCAAGAGCTCTATGGCACCTATGTTTGTTTTAAAGAATGAGTATATTATGGATACGATGGGCTACTGTAATTGAATTAGGCATGTCTTCCAGCTTCCTGGCAGGGATGCAATTCATCGCCCCAGGCTCCCCCATGAGTACTATGGTGCCTACATTGGAAAATTAGGTTACATATAAGTGTTAAACCATCTGATGACTCAGGTAACAAAACAAGATATAGCTAACAAACCAACCACTTACATATTCTTTTTAACAAACACATTTGTTAAGCAAGTTGAATGTGCCAGGACCAAGATACCACCTGTTTAAAAAAGCTTCTAATAGCAGAAATTACAGTCTCTTAGTTCTTAATTTATTTGAGGTCAATTAAACTTTTATAAACATAAGATAACTCGTGTAACTTAGATTTATATAGTTAATTTAAAAATTAATTTTACTTGTGTAATATGAGAAAAAATTAAGCATCAGAAAATGATACAGTTAATGAAATTAAAAAAAAAACGACACCTCATGAAGTATTTAACCTGTAAGAGGTTTCACTAACATGTATCAAGGTATATCTTTTTTTTTTACATTAAAATAGGTTGGGGCAGAGGAGGTGGTCAATTTAAATACAATTGGTACATCTTACAACAAAAAAAGTTCATGAATATTTAATTCATTTTAAATTTTAACTAAAGCACATCCAATTTTTAATCTTTGATTTCATGTATCTTTTTCAACAAACAAAAACTAATACACATTGAAACTCAATTAATTTCCAGGGTAATATCTAAATTTCTCACCTGCAATTTAGTGAGGTTAAAAATTTGTCGATTGACAACATGTATATTGTTTCCTGTAAGAATGAGGGCTTCAAGATTTGAAAGATTTACAAAACTATCTGGCAGACGATCAATATCATTGTTTAGCATAAACAAACATGTAAGGTCTGTTAGGTCAAAAACACCATCTGGAATTTCTCTATATCCCTTGTTATTGAGTTCTAAGCAAACCTAAAAAAGAAATTTGATAATTATGGTGGTTAAGTTAAATAATAATATAATAGATCTAATTCGAATTTAAGCTTTTTAAAAAATTGTCTTTCAGACCTGCTGAAATTATATTCTGGAAGGTATATTTTTCTTATGTGCTTGTTATATTTTCTTTAACTGAATGGAAAAGTTTGATCCATGCAATTTTTAAATAAATATGTCAGCAGCATTAAAAGCCTCAAAAATAAAACTAAAAAAATAATTCTAAAGTATTAATTTACAGCACTTTGTAAAAACATTTAAGGCTACTGCTTTCTTTTTATTTTCTGGGGCTAGTTAATGTAGGCTAGTAAAACAAGTCAAACTAAACGTATTTTAAATAACTAATTTTTTCTCCAGTTATAGATACTTAATTTAGCAATAAATTATTATAGCTATTTGAGACTTTGAATTTTTTTTTATATATTCTTAATTTTTCTAATGATACAAGTAATTCTTACTGCTTAAAGATCATGAGTTACTACTAATTATGCTTTATAAATCTTTAAATATAACCTCAAACTTGTATAGAAAAGTGTACCTTGGTTCCTTGCACGTGCAGAAGCTGAGCAAATTTGTTAACTTTTTTTGATGCTTGTTTTTTCTTTGCTGATTTTTCTTGCTTTTTATCAGCAGGTTTTAGTCTGTCACTGGGTTTTGGTCCTATTTTAAATTTTTCTGCTCGTGAAGTTTTTGATTTATCTGATAAAACAGATCCACGATGGCCTAAATTAAAGAATTAAAAAAAAAATGGAGTGTGCACAAGAATTACAATAATTTTCCTAATATTATTAAATATAATAATTGATCAATAATGATTAGCCTTTTGTTAAAATTATATATATATATATATATATATATATATATATATATATATATATATATATATATATATATATAAATATATATATATATATATATATATATATAAACATATATATACATATATACATATATATATATATATACATATACATCTAATATATAAGCTCAATTCTGTATGTAAAAATACATATGTTTGTCGTTGACATACTTCGATGGATTAAAGTGTTAGACTATTATCGTGCGCATTTGTCTAAATTTATGAGTTAAAAAATTACTCAAACTGATAGTAATAATTTTTCAAACTGATAGTAATAATTGTCGGCATGTTCATTAAACACAATTTTAAAAAAATAACAAAAATTCTAATTATGTCTGAAAATTATTTATATTTAGTCCTTTAGCACTTACTTACATTTGATAAATTAGGAATCACAATTACTTCCCTTTATAAAACATTGCATTAGTGGAAAAGAATTTACTTTTTATTACTTTGTTTTAGTGTTGGGGAAAAAAATAATTACATAATTAGCGGGGATTGATCAAGTGCAAATGTTGAAGGTATTTTACGAATAAGCTTGGAGTATTATAATTGTTCATTTGGTTTGGTTTGGCACCTACGTTCGTTTAAGTGAGTGCAAAAAGACTATGAATAAGCTGGGGTACTATGGCCGATTATTAAGCTTTTTTCGTTTTCGTTTGTGTTTTTTTCTTTTGGTTTGTGTTTGTATTTGTGTTTGGTTTTGCGTTTGGATTTGGTTTGTTTTTGTTTGCTTTTTCATTTGTGTTTTTTTCTTTGGGTTTGTGTTTGTATTTGTGGTTGATTTTGCGTTTGGATTTGGTTTGTTTTCGTTTGCTTTTTCGTTTGTTTTTTTCTTTGTGTTCGTATTGGTGTTGTGGTTGTGGTTGGGTTTGTTGTTAGGTTTTTGTTTTCGTTTGTATCTGTAATTGTGTTAGCGCTATGTTTGCGTTTTGTTGTTTTTGGTTTTGGTTGGTTGTAGTTTGGGTGGGCAGTGCCAGGTTTATGATGATTACTAAACACACAGGTAATGGTCTTTAACAGAAAGGTTTTCACAGAAGCCAGAGCAGGGCCTGGCCGGGACGGCTAGTATATATATATATATATATATATATATATATATATATATATATATATATATATATATATATGCATATATATGCATATATATATATATATAGTATATATATATATATATATATATATATATATATATATATATATATATATATATATATATATATATGCATATGCATATGGATATGGATATACATATGCATATGCATATGCATATGCATATGCATATGTATATGTATATGTATATGTATATGTATATGTATATGTATATGTATATGTATATGTATATGTATATGTATATGTATATGTATATGTATATGTATATGTATATGTATATGTATATGTATATGTATACGTATACGTATACGTATACGTATACGTATACGTATACGTATACGTATACGTATACGTATACGTATACGTATACGTATACGTATACCGACCCTGGAGGGTAATAAAAAACATGAGCCGACCCGCTGTGTATCATACGCCGCTATTTAGTTGTTTTATTTTCTACTTTTCAGTAATTCATAATTTGTGAATTCGACAGTACCAATGCTGCCACTGAAAATATTTGCTTTAAAACACTAAACCCCCCCCCCCCCCCCCTTGAAAGCAGCCTCCTCTTAGTTACCTCCTCTAAGTTTAAAATAGTTTCAAACTGAATTATCTGCCCCTAATAGCCGTCACCAAACTAAACATTTAGTGTGAGCTACAACTCACCTGACCATGTGAGGGGGGTGGGGGTTGGGGGGGGGGGGTGGTAGCGGTAGAGAGGAAGAGAGGGGACTGCAAGGCGCGCGCTTGCAGCTTGTTTTCTAACGGCTCCCAGAAGAGAATTATATATATAGATTATTCACATCGGAAAAACCCCTTAGGATCGTTAGATTTGTCCAGATGCCGTAAACAATTGTTTGTGAGAAAGTAAACAAAGACTATGTCATTTGGTTGATGTACATGGGAGGTAACTTTTTAAAGTAATATTTTAAAAATAATTTGTATAGCCTACTTTTAAAAAAAAGTAAAAAAAAATCACAAAGTACAGCATTCGTTTAAATAGATATTTTTTTATTAATTAAGTCTTTTATTGTAATTAAATTGTACAAATTTAATATAATATTTGATTTAAACTATTAAAGAAGCCTTTGCAGTTATAATAACCTTGTGAGTAATAAGTTTGTGAATACTCCGACAATGTTCGCATGACATGAATTTACTCAGACTGTTTGAACTTAGACCCTAAGCATTCCATGCAACAGCCAATCACCAACTAATTAATCAATGAAATTCTCAAAAGCGTTTTGAAAACCTAAGCGAAGCTCGGCAGTGTGCCTAGTTTTATTATACAAAATGTAAACAAAAAAGGCAGACCTGCGGGTCATGTGGTTTAAAATAGCATTATATTATGACTTATTATGTTATTTAAAAACTTAATTTGCAAAGTTTTATAAACAAATAGTCAAATAGGCCTAACTAGCAATCATGGAGGACATGGAGTTCCTGTACACTAGTGTACACCACAGCACAGTCAATCAATGTTTCTCTTACAAAAGTGAAACATCCTGTCTGGCATTAAAACCAAGATCTAGCCTGATCTAGATCTAGATCTAGTAGGTTTGAAAACTCAAAAATCATTTTCAAGTTCTCTGGATTTGCAACTTTTGGTAATCTATCGTTTTGGGTATGTAAAATCGCCCGCGGCTAGTAATGTACGAAAAAGTTACCTCATTGTCAAGGCTTTAATAGAATTATATTGTGATATATTTATGTCAAATATTATAGATAAATGAATAATAAACCTAAATCAATAGCTAAATATATCAATATAGGCAAGAAATTAACTTTAAAGAGCAGTGTTTGCTAGCAGGATTTCCTATATAAACAGCAGCCATCTGTAAATAGAGTTGCCTTCCCCTGAATCTCGCGCTTTAAGTTAAAACAAAGAAAGCACTTAAACAAGATGGCTGCTGTAGTAAATGAGCATGGTTGCATATGTTGGAATTTTTGGAAACATCGCTAGTCTTCATTTATTATTGAAAAGTTTTAATTCAATTGTTTAAAAACAGGTACATATATTTAATTATATGAAACAAGGAAACATTTTTGTATTTTTCAAAACATAACTCCTCCTCAAAATGTAAAATAATTATTAAAATTTAAGGAGTCACCTGTTTTTCACATTACTAGTCGCGGGCGATTTTACGTACCTAAAACGATAGATTACCCAACTTTTATATTTAATCTTGGTTCTAAAAATAATAAATTTCTGAATTTTTTTTAGGCTTGTTAAGTTATTATTTTTTATTATGTTTACGGGGGCTATGAAGTCAAAATATTTTTTTTAAAAACGAATTTCATCCATGTCGACAATTAGACCTAGAGGTCTACTTTTATTTACAATAATCAATTATTATCAGTCACTATGAGTATGATCATGATGGAAGGATTCTCGTCAACTTTGTGACCTCCGCTTTGAAAGTTTTACGACATTTTCATCAAAATGCATACAAATACTTAATGGAGCTAGAGAGATCTAGAATCTAAATATATATTGAATAATAGTGTTTAAAAGGAGGATTACCAAACATTTTCGTTAAGCCAAAGCTGTCGAAAGATCTGTGAAGGAATTTTGCAGGGCAGACAACACCTACGAACTTTCAGTATATTTACTTGATCTACGTTGCTTAGTAACGCGGGCAGATTCAATACCGAAATACAAATTAAATTCTTCTGCAAATTTACAAAAAAAAAAAAAAAAAAAAAGAAAAAAAAAAAAAAAAAAAAAAACCCATTAGGCCCTATAGATTTTAAATGCATAGAAAATAAGAAAATAAAACTAATTTGCTTTCTTTAATAAAAGCTCCTGTCGCTAAAATATGTAATTGTAAAAGATCTCCTGAACGACCAAAGCTTTTATTAGAGATAGCAAATTTTCTTATTTAAGAATTTGTTTTTAAAATGTGTTCTATTTTCCACTTTTTAGTGATTCGACACAACTAAAAATATTTGCTTAAAAATGCATAAAACATTTTAATAATACGCTTTTATGTAATAATGCACTAAAAAATAAATAAATGATTTTTTTAAAATTTAATTTTATTCTCTAGATCTAGGTGTCCATAAATGACGTGACACTCATATAGGGGGTAGGGGGGGGTCCGTATTTTAGTGACGGTGTGGGATGAGGGGAGGGGAGGGGGGGCGTTCAGACGGTGTGACGGTACACTTTTGCATTATAAAAAAGCAATGTTAGTAAACTAGTTTTAACCGTTATTTCGCGTTTTAGAAAACGGATTCAATTCAACTCTATGTTGACAGAGTTCAGACAAGATTATGGGAAAATATTGATGTTTTAAGAAAAATTCATCTAAAAGTTTGAGTGGGGGGGGGGGGGGGGTTGTAGGATGAGGTGTGACGTCATTTTAGGGGGGGGGGGGATGGTCTGGCTTTTTGTGATGATGTGTGACGGAGCTGATGGAGGAAAAATCGTCAAAAAAGCATGACGTCATTTATGGATGACCTCCAACGGGGTCTTTTATGGACGACCCTTAGGAGGATGATTAACGGACACTCATTGTGTTCATACAGCAGGCCCAGGGGTATGTTAATACTACCCGTTTTTATTACTGCCTTAGACCTGGGAACAGGGCGTTACCCCCCCACCCCCGTCAATTACCCCCCGAACATTTCCCCTCCGTCATTACCCCCGGAGTAATTACCCCCTGTCAATTACCCCCGCCCAATAGAACATTACCCCCCGATCATAGCTTAAGGTTCTGCTAGGGTTTGAGTTTGGGCTAGGTCTTGGTCTAGGGTTAGCACTAGGACTAGGGTTCGGGTTAGGGCTAGGGCTAGAGTTATGGTTAGGATCAGTGTTAGGCTCAATCTCTAGAGTTGGGTTTGGTTTTGGGTTTATTTTAGGGTGAGTTAAATTCTTAGGTTTTTCGCCTTTGTCTTAAGGTTAGGATTAAGATAATATATTGGTATAGAGTTAGAATCAGGATTCTATCTCTTGGTGGATGAGGAGAGGGGTTAATTCCCCATGGGGTAACTTGCTCCGGAGGGGGGGGGGGTACGGGGGGAAGTGTCCGGGGGGGGCGGAATGTCCGGGGGAGGGTAAAGTCCTGTAGCCCGTAGGCCTGCCATTAACATTTATTTCACATTACTGTATGTTAGGCCGTATTTATAAATGTAGTTACACTTTAAAATAACTAATGTTAGAACTAATTTTTATCACTCCTGATTTTATGGGAGTTCAGTAGTGGAACGGACTACAGGCGTATTTAATACAATTAGACGTACCTATTTGGGTAATATTTTTCTTCGCGTAAGAATATCTGGTTACAGAGTTGAGTGATGGGGTGTCTGCTTATGTGCTATTTTACTCCGCAGGATTGCATTTTCCTGTCTACCTGATTCTAACCCAAAGAATAGGAATTTATAGAATTCTTGACTTTATTAGTATACTCTAGGTCTAGATCTAGATCTAATCTAGATCTAAATATTTTCACACAAAATGAAGTGATACAGATTCTAGATCTACTGATGTTCGTATGATTTGGATTAGATCTAATCTATCTTTATTATTCATAATGGATGGATTCAGAGCTTTGATTTGGGTTACATTTATTCACAGTTTAGCCATAACTGAAGGTAGGCCCCTCTTCTAGATCTAGAATCTAGATCTAGACGTCTAGATCTTAGATCTAGATTCTAGATTAGATTCTAGAAATCTAGATCTAGCAAGACATTTCACTCTCAATGAACTCTTGTCTAAAATCTAAAAGCCTTATTGTAAAATTAAATCTTCTAGTTTATCTAGAGTAAAATTTAAAAAGCAATGATGTAGGCCCCGTAGGGCATTGTAGGGCCTATGTGACATGTGTGTGGCTGTCTGTCTTTTATTTTATGATTATGCATTACTAGATCTAGATCTACTTTCAGATGATATTTAGAATCGACCCTTTGAATCCCGGACAGATAGTCCCCCCCCCCCCCCCGGCGTGGCCTCAACCAACCGGCGGGCTCGTTGCATTGAGTTAAAGTTAAATATAAACTCAAAACAATAATATAAACAATCTCCTTTCGGTTGGTCAGGCCACATACCACGCACGCATAGTGTTGTGTGTCGTGCCTTAACCAAAATAAACTATCTCCCTTCATTATCATTAGATATATTTAATTAATTAATTAATTTGATAATTATAAAATTATGTATGATGAGTATGATGCTATAGAAGTAGTGCAAGTATAATTTTTACTATGTATTTGTACTATTAAACATATTAAAGAACATCATTGTTTTAATACCACCCTCTCCCCTTCTTGAACTCAAAGTTAAACTTTTAACCCCGTTTGTAAAGACTAGCGGTATGCTGTAAGACGGCGGGTGGGTAGGGTATATACTCATTGGAAAAAAAAATCCTCCGTGGTTCGTGTTATTGGCCTTGGGTGACCGTTGTTGACGCTTGCTGTGAGGGGGAGAGGGGTTTGTGTTATACTCGTTGAAAAAAAACGTAAAAAAAATCCGAACTACACGTAGAAAAAATGGCTTTTTCTGCCCTTTTTAGCTCCAAAAACGCAGTGTTTACGGGTCGCGTGACGTCATCGTGACGTACGTCATCGTGACGTCAGCCGCCAACCAAAACGCGTTGAAAGCGCGCGTTTGATTGGTTGGCGGCGGATACTATGAAATATCAAGGGTTTTCTCTAAATTTTTACCCTACTTTCATCAGACCGCCATGAAACTTTGGGAAGTTTGTTGAATGTTTAGAATACTCCTGGAAAAGTTTCTGCAAAAAAAAAATAATTTCAAATTCGCAGGGGTGGCGCCCTGTTAGGGTGGCGCGATTTTTTTTTAATATAGGCCTAGTGGCCTAGTGTATAAAATAATAAAAGTCAATAGTGGTTTGACACATCCGATCGCCATGAAACTTTGGTGAGTTTATTATAAAGTAAAGGAAGTGGCTATTCAGACCCGGGTCCTAATACCCTCGGCCGCTATAGGGACCCGGCATTAAGTTCGTTAAGCACTTGTACAACCTGTATTAAAATTATACCTTTTATGTTTATTTGATTTTTCTTGTGGATTTGCTCATATTTTGTTGTCTTTTATTGCAATTAGTTATGCGGATTAGCTAGCGTTAGTTCTTGCGTTGCTATTTCTAAATACCCTATATTTAGCTCTATATACAAAATCATTAACTATTTAGGTATTAACTTAAGACGCCGTGGTCGAGTGGAGAATGCAGATCCTCCCGATTCTCGATCAGTTACGGGATCGAAACCTATCACACCTCTCGTATTTGCGAGAAGTAAAGTGTATTTATCAATTTATCTAAGTTTAACATTCTAATGAGTTGTTTGCATAAGTGTCTTTTTTAAATTGTTTTTTTTTAAATAGATTATATTTTTTTCTCTAGATTTAGGTTTTTAAACACGCACATTATAAACATCGTTGCTTCATTGATCATCCGTTCGCGTTTTCTGGTCAGCGCAAGAAAAATACCGACATGGCCTAGCTAGGGTCACTGTTAGTTCACTTTGGTTTAGATGTGAACAGTGTAGGCGTATAGCATACGTCATAGCAAGACCATTGCTATGAGCTTGTCAAGATTTGTCGCCGTAGTCCCCCCCCCCCCCCCCCCCCCTCGCAACCCAGCAAGAGCGAAAAACGGATTGGGGGGTCAATGTGATGAGTTCAAATGTTACATATTGCTTCTATTAAAGCGTAATACAACGCATGGGAGATATTCGTGTTCAAGAAAACGGACCCGGGAGCTGGAGTCTGTAGCCTATAGAGCTTTTTTATACAATTATTTATATATATATATATATATATATATATATATATATATATATATATATATACTCTCTCTATATATATATATATATATATATATATATATATATATATACCAGGGTCCGTAGCGGACCTTGAATCCTTGAAAAACCCTTGAATTCCAAAAAACATCTCAAGGCCTTGAAAAACCCTTGAATTTCCCCAAAAATGAGCAAAACCCCTTGAATTTTATAGGTAAACCTTGAAAACCGTGCGTAAATCGAATTTTTAAAAAAAATTCAATTCTGATGGATCTAAACTTTTTCTGCCTTTATTTTTTTTTGCGGTTGGTCTGCGTTAACTTCGGAGTCTATTTCCAACCCTCTCCTTTGCTGAGCCTCGCGGTATGACCTCAGTTTTGCATAGGCTCTTCCTAACCTAGATTCTAGATCGTGACGTAAACGATAGCCGAGGGCTAAATTTAGCATCGTTTTTCGGATATCTCCGTGACCGTTTACGACCGAGTTACTAGATTCTAGATCTAGATTCATTGTTTTCTGTTAGGGCCTACCTACTTGTACGGTTTTGTCCGTAATTTTTCGATTTTGACACCCCTGTTGCGGAATTAGGCCGCAAATGTTACGCAAAAGCCCACAGTAAACATCAAAATCGATTTAGTGTCGACCTTTTTTTTTCTTGTGTCAAATTTCCGTGTTATCCGGTTCTATGGTTTCAAACATCTTCAATCATAACAATCGACGCCCCCCAAATCCCTTCCCGACAATATCTCGGCAGTCGTTGGCTCTATTTATATTGTGAACTTTATTGACCCCGCGAGTGGTCTGTTGTCTCCTGATCGGTGATGTCCGTAAAGAAAAAAATTGGAATGTGGCCTAAATCATTAAAATTCTGGTCGCGCATGGAAATTATCTCGATTATAATTAAACCTACATCTAGAACTAATATTTTTTCTTCAAGAAAATAAGCCTTAGGTTTAAATAAAAAAAGAATAGCCTTAACAATGCGAGCGTAGGTTTCTATTTATTTAAATTAAAATTTTCTCGGTGTGGGTTAAACACAAAAGGGCGAAACGTAGCTGCGGAATTACGGGTAAATAGCGAGACATAATTTATCGAATTATTGTGTTCTGTTATTTTAGATGTGCGAGAAGACACGTTTTTACGAACCTAGATCAATCACGGTTCTTTGTGTACCCCACGATAGCAGATGTTTCGGTCACTGCGACCTTAGAAGGTCTTCTAGGTCTATCTCAACTTACAGTGACCTCGCAGTATATTAATAATTAATATAGTCGTGGATCTAGATCTAGATTTTTAACTATTAACCAACAAGATTTCCTAATGCCTAATACCAATAGGCATATTTATCACGTTCGTTAAAAAAACCAATAGCAAATGACGTAATCGTCAATCTCACGTGGGCTATGGACCAAATACACATTGACTGTATCAGATGGGTGAGGCTGTAGACAGAACTTTTTGATGTCATTCTTGACGTGGCTGTCTGGTTATTTATGACGATAGAGGTTGGGGTAAAATTCGCATTAATTACGTGACGTCATCAATGGGCTACCGCTAGGCTGTGTAATTAAAAAAAAACTAAATCCTAACATTACCAGCTCATTAGCATCGCCGATTGTCTTCTTAAAAAAAGGAAAGATTTTGCGCCGACGTAAAAAAAATTGTGTATTTATCAAAAGAAAAGAAAAATAATTTGAAGGACTATGACTGTGCTGTTTTCACTCAACTTTACGGACACTTTTTATCGCCTCTCACTTCAAGGTCGCGCTGACCGTAAGACCTGCGACACGAGACCACGCTCGAGCACAGTCGTGTCTCACGGTCAAGGCAGTTCTACAAACGCTGTTTATCTAATTTTAACGTGGTTATCTTTAATATTGGGCTTACTGCTAGATTAAAGCGAAAACAAAAACTAGATCTGCATCGTTTTAGGTCATTGAACAAAATATGTAGGTCTGCTATAATTTAGTTACCACGCATAAAGAAAGAAGATACTGGCTCGTATCTTAAATTAAAAAACATACTATTTAAAAGATAAAATCATGTAAAAATAAGGCATACAAACCAAGAATGTTGGCTTAGCTAACTCTGAAGTACTTTAATGAAGTATTGAATGAGGCAATTTTGTCAGGAGACTTATTATAAAGATCTTAATTAGCCAGGGTCCTTTTGTTGGGAATCCCAAAGATTGAAGCCTTTAGTAAGGAGTCTGTCACAGCGTAATTGAAACCTTACCAGACATGCCTACCGTCCCGCCAAAATCTGGACCGTCCTGCTTTTTCACCTAAAAAAGTAATTTGTTCCGTCATCCCGAAATTGACTCAGTTGGTTCCGATTTTTTTTCGAAATTTTTTTAAATAAAGAAAGGTAATAAAGTAAATAGAAAAAAATGTCAGGAAAAAGCGATTATCTCCCTTTGGCACACGTTTCTGTTTCCTAGTTTACTTACAATATTTACAAGTATCATCTTAATTCTAGATCTAGTTAGTAGATCTACTACTACTAAATCTAGAATTGTAACTAGATCTACTAGTAGATACTGAAATAGTGAATACTGATCTATCTTGTATGTTTAACTTAACTAGTAACTACTATTATGAAGAACTTAGTAAGAAGTAACTAGAAGTAACTAGGAGTTTTACTAGGTAGATCAAGGGACTTTGCTCGTAACTTTACATATGATGAAGCCTTCAGCATTTGTTATTCATATAGCCTAGAACATAGCAAGACACAAATAATCAAATCAATAATGTTATGTCAAAGGTATGATTTTTATTTGGGGGGGCGGGGGGAATCTCAGGTTATTAGTTAATTTATTTTTTAAAATGTAAGCTGACATTAAGCAGTATTTAAATGTATCCTAGAGACTAGTTATATATAACTAGAAGCCTACTAATGTCATTAGAGTAATTTTTAATTAATTATTTTTATTTTTGACTTAATAAAGTAACGTCCGCGCGTATGTTCCTCTTTTTGGCTTCAAATTCCTCTTTTTAGGCATAACTGTTCCTACTTTTGGCTGACAGGGGTAGGCATGTCTGCCTTACATTAAAAATTTAGATTTGACAATAATATGATATAAAATGATTTTGTATTCCTAGGTCTCAAATGTTATTCCTGTGAAAACTGTGATGTGCCAATTGAAAACAAAACATGCATAACAGATGGGCTATGCGTGTCAGTAATTGTTAGAGACAAAGAGAAAGATAAAAATGGAGTGATAACCAGTAATAAATATATCCCTCGTATCAGCCGAAGGTAAACATAGTTTTAATGGTTTGTTACTTAATAAAAACATTTAAATTTCTTCCTTTTACCTTTTTCATCTCCCAGCTGAGGAAAGGTCATTTACAACATCCCTACATGCTTTTCTCTTCTTTGCTTTTTTTTTTTTTAATTTTATTTCCAATTCTCCAATAATTTTCATATCTTTTTCAGTTTTTCTTCGCCATTAGTTTTTGAGTTTCCCTCTTTATCTTGATTGTTGTTGATTCCATACATTTTCATTAGTTTAAATAGATTCATTTAAAAGATTGAAAAAAAATGTATTAAGATATAACGTTTTTACTATGGGATTCCTAAAGAAGCCATACAGATATCCCCAGTTTCAATTGTTCTAAAATAAAAAGTTATGCATGACTTGTGTATGTGTGCTAAGTCTAACTAACCAAATAGTTTTGCTGTGTAGTTAAATTGTAACTAGAACTACCAGAATTAGCCTTTAATGGCTATTGTACCCGCATACACAATTAAAGTGTGATTATTTAAACACCTATACTAACATTTATGTAGTTTTTTTAGAATATAACTTTTTTTTTCTCAGATGCTATAATGATAGTAGGAATTTTCTACGTGGGCGACCTCTCTTCTGCCACGTCAATGAAGCTTTGAAGCATGAGCAAAATGTTGTGTGTTGTTCAGATCACCTGTGTAATTTCATTGTTCCAGAGTTGGCACCTGTACCACAGCCTGTTAACAAGCAAAATTCAGGTATAATCTGGAATTTAGAAAAGTGAATTTTCAGACTTAAAATAAATTGAAAATCTGTAGTTTTCCTGAGGGATTTCAAAAAGTTTGAGAAAACTCTCCTAGAAAACACACCCCCCCCCGCTCAAGATGGCTTACATGGGTATATGTGTATAGAGATGTCATATATCCCTGGTTCACACATGAAAACCCAATCACTTTGGGCTATTTAAAATAATTATTTATTGAAAGAGTGATCACAATCTTTTTCATAAAGCTAGTTAAAGGTTGCAGGCAGTCATAACATTTTTATTTTTTATCTTGGAGAGGGTTGATGGGGCTATGGACTGAATCTTTTTGTCATATGGTTAGAGGGGGTATCTGGCTATTGATAACATGGTGATTATAATACCAACATTGTTTTTTATAGGATTATCTTAAAGTAAACGAAACATGATATTAATATGAAAAATTCAGTTATACCGTTTGCGCTGTCTTTTTCAAGGAAAATTGCCAGTATTTTTTCTAAATTTCCTAATAGTCTTGAGTAGTATCCGTTAAAGCTAAGGTGGTTAGCCATAGAGCTCACCACACTATCCCTTCACATGTCAAGGTCACAGAAACAGGTGAACTTAACTTCACCTGCCCCATAAGCCATTAGGCTTGAAAGGAAAACCTTTTTTTTTTTAATTATAAAGGTATAATAATTATGTAACATATGAAAATAATATATTTTGAAAATTCTTTAGGCATTGTCGGTATTAGATTGCTTGTAAACCAATCTAAAACTGCCGCTCTAACTGTAACCGAGGTAAAATATGACTTCGTTAAAAACACATTGTATGAGTCTATTTTTAGAAAGTAAAATTATGCTTGGTATAATGAAACATGATTTTCAACCATGGGATTATGAAGCGCATATTTCAAAACTGTTTAAAGCTGCTTCAGTATTACTTGGCCACTGAAGACCCAGGTAATGTGTAATTTGGAATACTGCAAGTGCAACAATCTTTTTACACATTGTCAGGTTATTTTTACACAATGCTAAAAACATTAATCTGTAACGTGTAGCATGTTAATACCATGATAATACAATGTCTAGTGTATTGTTTGCTCTTAAAATAACAAATATATTGGTCTCTAGGTTTTATGATGTAATAATCATCTAATTTTAAAAGTATTTAAAGTTTTAATTAAATAAACCAAAAAGTACTTTGCCATTTGTTCTCTTCGCTACTTTTTAGTTTTTCTTATGTTATAAAAATGTCTCTTTCATTTTTTTTTTCAGATCTTCTCTTAACAGCTACAGAAATATCATTGACAATAGTTCTACCTATCATTGTCATTGGTGCAATCATTATCGCTGGTATCTTGTTATATTATTGTTTGCACAAAAGAGTAAGACCCTATGCTCCTCCACTAGACCAGAACAGTGATACCAGTCTTTTAATGGGCTCTCAACCTTCTTCTCTGAAAGAACTCTATGATTGGTCACAGTCAGGATCTGGCTCAGGTAAAAAGATAAATGTGAATTTTTAACTTTTTTTACTTGACGATTAAGTTTCCCTTTAGAAAATGGTCTACCATCTGCACTAACAACACAAATTTCCTACTGAGCTTACCCCAGTATTATAACACCCAGTCTTCACCCTCAAGAACTGCAGCAACATCTGTTATTTAAAAATGGGTAATTTATGATGTCCACACAAAATTTTTTTTAGACCCCTCGCACCCTGTCCCCACTCATCCATGTAAGTCAGTTTGTTGAGACCTCCATCTTGAATGATCCCTAATAAATAATATAAGTTACAAAGAATACTTTCCCAAATGGATTGGGTAAGATTTACTATTAGGGTGGGGTGAGCATAGTAGGAAATTGGTTTGAATTGTGCAGTGCAGCCAATAGAACATTTTCCAACGGGAAACTGGCTCATCTAGTGTACTGCTCAAATCGAGCCCATGTTTACAAGTTTGTGTATTTAAGTATATATTAATTTGTCGCAGATAAGAGATAAGAAAATCTCCTAGACGCTTGCAGGTGTTAACTTAATCACATCAAATAACACATTTGCATACTATTCCAAAAGTAAAATTGAAAGTATGTGCAACAAAACACCATATTGATATGCCCAAACTGATTTATTGCTTCAATAATTCAGGCAAAAAATTTTATCTTAATTTTGTATATAAATTTGCCGACAAAAAAATAAAGATACATGGTGGTCGGCACTGTTATTTTAATACATTTAAACTCCCATTAAACCCTGGCTGTCTAGGGCGGCTATCTTTGCTTAAAAGCTAAGTATCTTCTCCATGTTACAAAACTTAGTCATGGTTCTTTGTTTGCATAAATGCACAAACTGATTCATTGCCTTAAAAAATGAATTAAAAATCAGTTTTTTAATTGATATTTTTGTTGTTTTATTTAAACTGATTTTTTTTTTTTTTTTTTTTTTTATCTGCAAAATAAGACTTTTTGGTGATTCGTGGTTTTGTTAATGCATTAAACTTTTAAACTCTCTTTCTCTCCTATGGATATTTTTGCTTAGAAGCTATGTAACCTCTGCCAGGATGCTTGCTACTTTCTTCTCATTGAAGAATGTAGTCAGTCTTCTTTGTTTGCATTATTAAATGTGTGTTGTTTTTACAACCAACTAAAAATACTGATTGATACTGACAAAAAAAAAAAAAAAAAATTCAAACTTTTAAACAATTGTTTTTAGTGTATAGATAGATGAAGAAATATTTTTACACCAACTTTCAAGTTTCAATTTTTATATTGTTCAGGATTACCACTATTAGTTCAACGAACTATAGCTCGACAGATAAGATTGTGTGAAATAATTGGTAAAGGAAGGTATGGGGAAGTTTGGCGTGGCAACTGGAGAGGAGAAAATGTTGCTGTAAAAATCTTTTCATCTAGAGAAGAAAGATCCTGGTTTAGAGAAGCTGAAATCTACCAGACAGTCATGCTTAGGCATGAAAATATTCTGGGTTTTATTGCTGCTGACAATAAAGGTAAAACTTTCTTATAGATGAAGTAGTATATTTTTTTTTAAAATATTGTTCAGAAATATTTTAATTTACAGTCTTGTACATGCAGGGTGCCACTTTTCTGTTTTCCAAAAATTCCTGATTTTATTTTCTAGCTGTACAACTGCTGCTTTTAACCTGTATTTTAAAATCTGGGCTTGATGCCTATCACATCATAACCAGGTGCACCGAAGAAAGAAAGGTAAAGCCTGGCTGAAATTGATGTGTTGAACACGAACAGCTGGTAATATGGATGAAAGATTTGCTCAGTTCTTCAAACTGTTCCAGTATGCCTGGCTAATGAGCAATGCTTAAGCCAGTTATGATTGATCATTGTATACAAGACAGATCCTCAATAATATGGGTTTGGGGTAGGTGGTCGGCAACCTTTTGAGACAGAAGATCCAAAAGTTACAATTTACAAAATTTCCCAGATTTCAAAGAGCCACTAGTATTTTTTTTGGTATTTGATTAGTATTAAGTGAATAAATTTGACTTTTGATTTGAAATAAATAGTTTAAAATATGAAATAATATTTATTCATATAAAAACATATTAAAGTATTTTAGCTAGCTCTGCTATGATAAAATTAGTATATCAAAATATAATCCCAACCCACTTTAGCAGCTAATAACTTTTTTCCCCTTTCTTTACTGACATCGCTCACTCAGGAGGTATCTCCCAATAGTCAGACAGGGCTCAATATGGGAAACTGACTTACTGGCTTGGGTAACTTTGATTACCGTATCAGTTGCTTTTATCCTTTGGTTCTTACTGCACGCTGGGTAAACTTGTACTTCAATCAATGTCCAGTACCTGGCTCAATGTAGAAAACTAGTAACTAAAAATTATGTCACTCAGGTCAAATTAATGCATACTGATAGAGAAATGTATTCTGAATAAAAAAAAACATTCCCCATTTAACTATATTTGAAATGTTGGCACTTCTGCAGTGGCAAGCATGTAAATGTTGCCACGGGGCTGTCCACAGCCTGGTGTCGGAGTAGCTGCCAGTTGTCTTTATACTTTCTATACTTTCTACCTCACCTATTCCCATTGTTCTTTGAGAATTGTTTTTATCCTGTTAATAGTTGTTTTTCTTTACAGCATAATATTTTTCATGAGTTTTTAAAATGAAAATATATTTATTAATATCTGTGCATGAACTGGAGAACTGCTTCTTGGTATCAGAAGAGCCACGTGCGGCTCGCCCGCAGGTTGTTGACGCATGGTTTGGGGGATATGTTAAACAAACATTAAATTTCGTTGTATTATGCACCAGTTAAAGTTTTTCTTGATATGTTATGTGTCGTGTTGCTCAATTTTAAAAATGTCAGCCTATTAATTGTGGAATCACGCAAATATCTTGAAAAGTAATGAAGAAATTATGGATTAATAATTGTCCGAGCAACAATAATGATTTTAGAAAGTTTTTGGTAAAGTTTGATGATCTAGATGGGTTTGGGAGTTAAAAATCAGGATTCACTTTTGAAATATGTGCCACTCCTGCATATGCAATTGATAAAAAATGCTTAAGAGTTTTGTTATAATGTTTTCTTACAGACAATGGTACTTGGACTCAACTATGGTTGATTACTGACTACCATGAGAATGGTTCATTGTTTGACTACCTAAATAGGCAGACTGTTTCACCAACTAGTATGGTACGACTTGCTCACACAGCAGCCTGTGGCATGGCACATTTGCATATGGAGATCCTTGGAGCTCAAGGTAACTATTTTTTTATAACAGCACAAAGGATAGATATTCTTTGTGATATAAGACTGTCTTTTATCAGTTAAATTTAGAGCCATGTTTATACATGTATTTATAGTAATATTTTTTGACTGATTTCAAATGCATTCTTCAAAACATCACCCATTGAGTTTAACTTAAAATGTAATGAATCAAGAGTTGAATATTTAGTTTTTGTTCTGTTTCATTATTAGAAAATTATCACACTAGCTATAATATCTTTATGCTGTAAATAAGTATTTTAATAACCTAAACATTCAAATATACTGGGAGTGATCTCCCCTAAACTTTCTCAAATATTCTTATATAACAAACACTACAGGGGATGTCAGCTTGGGATATAGACACCTATTGTTATTGTTAATCCATTTTTAATTACTAAAACTTTTTAAAATAAAATAGAATCTCGTGGAATAAAGAATTGCGCACCAAGTGAATGCCAAATAAAATGTGTATAATAGTGCAGAATATTATTAGTACTTAAATTCACATGCATTTTTTGAGAAATCGGAAATAGTGTAAATTACTACTTCCGGTCAACGGAAATTACTCAGAATTTGACAGAAGGCAGAGAATTAGATCTTTTACTTACATGTGAAATTTCATTTATCTATCTGAAATAGTACTCAAGTTAAAGGCTTTTGGAAAATTGAAAGTAGAATAAGTTCCACTTCTGTTTATCGGAAATTGCTGAAAAGTTAATACAGATCTACAAATTTGATACAATACTTATATCTGAAATTTCATCAACGTAGCTATAACGGTACTCAAGTTATCGTGTTCACATACATACACACAGACATACAGACAGAATTTCAAAACCCAGTTTTTCCGACTCGATTACGCATAAAACACCTAAATTTTGATAAATCTGGATTTATTATTTTTGCCCGATTAAAATAAGTCCCCTATGCTTAGTATATGGTGTAGTACTGAGGTGTAAAATTATGAAAACTGTCATAATTTCATGTTACTTTTGTGTACAATTACAATACTTCCTCTATACTCTGTATATGAGAAAGTAAAAATAATTTTTTTATTTACTGAGCTTTGATATATTATCTTGTTAGGTAAACCTGCCATTGCTCATAGAGATCTGAAGTCAAAAAATATTTTGGTGAGAAGTAATGGGACATGCTGTATCGCTGACCTTGGTTAGTATTCAGTTATATAGGAATCAAGTCTCATAACAAAAAATGATAAATTTTAAAAAAAATCTTAGTTTTTTAATTTAAAAAATTGTGTTAAAGTTAAGTTTGTTTCTATATTCTGGGCCACTGGTTTACTTTTACCTGGTATGCATACAGATTCATTGTTGGTATTTTTTAATACCATTTGTTTGTAGCACATCTTTACTACTAGGCTTATAACTACTAAGCCTAAATCAGTATGCACAGTGATTGTTTTGTTTGTGGTTATTCTGACCCGCAAATTAGTGTGGCTGTTAAAGATTGTTATTAATTGGAAGACTTATTCCACAAAGACAGTTGATACTTCTATTGAACCTACTCTTTCTAATGAGCGTGGTTATTACAGCATGTCACAATAAAAGAAAACATGTTCAGATAATGTAATGCATTTTTCAAATCTAGCCTGCTAATGACAATTTTTATCTTGCATAATGTAGCAGTTTTTTTTTTCATAACAATTTTTTTGGTACAACTCAGTGTACAGTATACTTTTAAAAGATTCATTTAATATTATTCTTTGGCTTTTTTATCTTTATAATAATATGTATTGTAATATTTAAATATTTAAGGTCTGGCCGTTCGTCATGACAGTAAACTTGACAGCGTGGATATAGCACCAAACAATCGTGTGGGAACTAAACGTTATATGGCTCCAGAATGCTTAGATGAGACTATCAACATGGACCATTTTGAATCTTTTAAGCGTGCTGATGTGTATTCTTTTGGACTTGTTTTGTGGGAAATAGCTCGTCGTTGCTCTGTGGGAGGTAATTTTTTTACTAAATTCATATCTTAAAAGGAAAGTGATTGCTTTACATTTATTTGGTCTTCTGGCCTGCCATACTGTAACAATGCTCTTAGCGTCCTGATAAAATTTTCTGGTTAATTTGTTATTTTGCTGAATCCAAGTTTTTAATAGTGAAGCTTATTCTAATATTGCAGGAAATCTCATTTTTAGTGATTTTTTACTTGCAGTTTTCCTGTTTGGTTGCTTTTGTATTACAAAGAAATTTTTGTTAAACCACTTAACAATGGCATTTTTTAAAAACTGCAGAACCCTATTCAGTTGCATCGTTTAAACTGTTACCTTAGATGCATTATAAAGTTAACCAAAATAAATGTATTAATACTAAAGCAATACATGCTTTTGGTAGGAAAATAGATGTAGTTTCATTATCTGTGAATAAGAAAATCCGAACAATATTTTAATCATATATTTTCCAGACAGAAATACTTTTTTCTGAGGAAAAGCTACTATATGATTTATTTTGCGGCATATTAACTTTAAATATTTGAGTGAAATTCAGGTGAAACGTGAAAATAACTGATGTTAAAGAGCTAATTTTGCCTGTAATTAATATATTTCAACTAGAAAATTCAGGATTTCTCATAGGAATTTCAGGATCAGATATGTTTTTAAAAAAACAGCATGTAATATTATAAATTATATTTTAAAAAAAAAGTAATTTTAAAATAGTTTTCCTCCTTTAATTAAAAAATATACCTATTGTAGTTTTTGCTCTATATCGAAATTTCAAGTATGTAGAAAAAAGTTTAAAAAGATTTTGTTTTACACATTGTCAGGAAGGTTCGAACCATATGACTATTTTCCTATCTAAAACTGAAAACATGCTCAGAACCATGCACATCTTTAACAAGTACTATCACAGACTACCCATTTAGTAGAATGTGTATTTCTTTGTAAGCACTTTGTGGTTAGAACTATTCCAAATATGTAATATATATATATATATATATATATATATATATATATATATACCAATAACAGACAGAATCTAAGTGTATGATAATAACTTCAAGACTATTGTACTTACTGGACCTCTTCTGGAATATGATAACACAATAAATGACAAAAATACTTAGATGTCATTGAACAAGTTAAGGCTGTGTGCGGCACCGGATTTATGTGTGTTGGGTGTCAGATGTCGAATTTCAGTTTTGACCTAATTATTAAAGTATATCCATTTCTGAATACAAAACCACATAACATATTGTTGGAAAATGGTTATTTTTATTTTAAATTAATTTTTTTGTGAGGCATGTATATGCATGTTTTGTCTAATTTTTCAAAAACACTGCGAAAATTGCCAAAGTTTACTACTATAAAACATACAGATAACTAAAAATAGCTACCGCGTGTTTAGTATCGCCGGAAAGCTCCTTTTCTTGTCTATAACGACAAGGTAAATTTGTCAACCAATGAAAATATTCCATTTAATTTCGAATGTTCAAATGAAACACACTTTTTAAAGAGTTTGACCTACATATACCAAATTTTCCTACTCGGCCTTACCCCGGAAGCAAGGTAAAATTCTATTGGCTGGCGGACTCGGCATTATCAGTGTTAAAATTTTTGATTCGCTAGCTAGTTTATCGCTTCTGGCGTGCCTAGTGATGCACTCATTCTTGTTGTGGATATTCAATCAGCTGTTTACAAACTTTTTAGACAAATCTCATCGTATCAAATGTTTTGGTCGGTTTAATAATGTTTAAACTGTTTAGAAGTATCGTGATTTTATACCAGCCACCATTCTTTGTTGATTCACTGCTACTAGATTTAGTCTACACAAGCCTACGAGAAGAGTAAGCAGTGTTTTACGTGTGTGTGTAGTAAGTTATTACACAGCAAGAAATACACTATCACCCTGTGATCGAACCCATAACAGTCAGACTTATCAGATAGAACGATTTTTGGTAATAACTTAAGTAATCCCCGGGTGAAGTTGGCCTAAACATGTTACAAGTGTCCTAATGCCTAACAAGGATAACAGAGTACACAACAAACTAGGCTCATGTGTTTTACAGTCTACAACTGATTATGACAACTACAGCCTTAATTTTGTTTACAAGGAATAGATGCACGGACATCAAGCAGTGAGTATTTCAATATCCATTAAACTATTTGAATTTAAAGATTAATTAGTAGACCTACATATTTTTTTTTGAACATCTTATTTAGGTTAGTAGACCTGTTTGTCATTAGACTCATTAGTGGTTCAGATACTAGCTAGATCTAGATCTAGTTCAAAAGATTTTTATCTCCTCAAACTAATGAATCAAATTCTATTCAGTGATTCTCCTAATCTTATATTCATACAATATATCATTATAGTTTTATGATTACTTTTCTTTTTACATTTGTATATTTTATTAATAAATTGATTTCCCCCATGATTTAGGCCTACAGTGTGTGTTGAAAACCCTGCAAGTTGTCCTGGTTCAAGGTAACTTTCCCTACACATAATTTTGTTTCACATAACAATATCTGAAGAAAATGATTGAAGAGCTAGTGACCAAGTGAACTCAGTGAAAGAATATGGCAACTTTTAAATACTGCAAAAAGGAGAATCATGTATCCGAGTGATGGTAAACCGCTTTTCAAAATCTTGTTCTGGACCCAAAACAGTTGTAAAATTTATTTATAGCTTATAACTTACAATGATTTTGCAACTTAGTTTAGGATTCAATAAATATTCAATGCAAAATGTGTTTGTGGTAAAGTGTGGTTTTTTTTTGTCCACTGAAATAACTTGATGTTCTACTTTCCTTTATAGAATTGACCTTTGCCAAGAGAGAGCCAAGCAGTATGAAACCAGACAATAACTTAGAAAAAGAGCATTTATTTTGGTCAGTGCACAAGTATTAACAGGAAGAGATAAAAAGAGCTGAAGATATGAATAAATCAATTATTATAGTTATAGTGGTAGCAAGGATTTAAAAAAAAACCCATTGAAACATTTTGCCGGATGACTAATCTGGAAAAAGAAAATGCTAGATGGCAGTAAAAAGTAGCAGTTGCCAAAATGAAATGTGAATATGCTTAACAAAATAGAACTGTTAGGTGTGGTTCAGCCCATTTTTTGAAACAGTTTATTTTAAGAAAATAAAAATGTTTTTTACTTTTACGTATTTGACGCGTTATCTTTGTACGACAATTTTTTTACTTTATTATTTAAGGGGGTAGGCTCCAGAAAAAACCAACTTCTTAATTAAAACCTTTTATTGATTCATTTGTGTATATCTAAGTTAGGGTACTTGAAGGAAAATATTTCCATCCATCAGGGAATATTTTGAAAAAAATGGTTGCCATGGCAACGGCGGCCATCTTGAAAAAAACATCCTTTTCTGGAGTTCTAAAATTTCATAAACTAACATAAATATCGGCTATATAACCATTGATCCTTCTTGTACTAACACTAATAGAGTCAGCTGGCTAGTTTTTGTAACAGAAATCACTCTAGAAATATTTTTTTTTTAATTTTCAAAATTTGGTGTGACGAAATTCCAATGAAAATAATGCTAAATTCAATGGAATTTCTCCACATATTTTTTTGAAAATTTGAAAAAAATATGTCTAGCTGTGTTTCGGTTACAAAAATTAGCCAGCTCACTCTATTGATGTTAGTACAATAAAGATCAATGATTATATGGGCGGTTTATATGTTACTTTAGGAAATTTTAGAACTCCACAAAAGGTAGTTTTTTCCAAGATGGCCGCCGTTTCCATGGCAACCATATTTTCAGAAGAGTCCCTGGTACATCCAAATATTTTTCCTTAAGTACCCTAACTTATACATACACAAATAAATGAAAAAGGCTTTTTAACTAAAAAGTTTTTTTCCCTGTTTTTTTCGGGAGCCTATCCCCTTAAAATGTACTTGCAAGTTTAATACTTCATTGCATGTTTATATGTTAAATAAACCTGCATAAATTAAAACCAAATTTTGTTAGTATTTGTTAGGTTATGAATGAAATTTTTCTTTAGTTTTTTGCATTTTTCTCAAAACGTTAAAATTCACTCTTCAAATCCCTACTCCTCTGTTAGTTCTGCATGTATTGTAATGAAACTTAGCCTGATTATTCTTCTAACATATATAAACAACTTCTATAAAGCATTTTTTAAAGATTTTTCTTACTTTAGATTTTATGGACTGAAATATGTTGAATTTGAGCAAATTTCAGCTTTTTTTAACAGTCTAGGATTTAAAAATTAAAAATAATTTTTTTAAACCCTTTTCTTAAAAAGTACTTAATAGAAAGTTTCAGGCTAACATCACTCTACAAAATGCTTGCATTTCTGTGTGTTTACCTCTAGTGGTTGCTGAGCCTTAGCATTTTGAAAATGATAAACAAAAATCCAATATGGCGGACGTAACCATGGCAACCAAAAATATTTTTCTTTTTGGACACCATTTTTAAAAATCCCATTGAGCATACATTATATGGGTGAAGTTTCAGTGAATTTGCTTGGCTAATAACAAAAAAGTGTTTTCCCTGTAGCTCCTAGCCTTAATAAAATCTACATTGGTGCTTCTTGTTTTTCTCTACATTAACCGTTTCTGTTTATTAAAAAAAGTATTTATTTTTTTCCATTTAGTAAATAAATGTCCCGTTATTGCTATTGAAACATATTTTCTCTACTTTATATGCCTCATGTGTCCTTTGCACAAACAGGAAAAGATCAAGTCCAGTTAAAATTTAAAAGTAGTATTTTTAGTTATTGTTCTGTTTTCTCTTGTGTTTGCAAGGTATATTTGAAGAATACCAACAGCCCTATTATGATTTGGTGCCATCTGATCCATCTTTAGAAGATATGAGAAAAATTGTGTGTGGTGACAAACAAAGACCTGCTATTCCCAACAGATGGCAAACTATTGAGGTACTGCTATGGCATGAATGTTCAGTTATGTTAAATATAGATAACATTATTTTACTTATTTAAATTTAATGATAGACCATTTGTAAAAAAATATCCGATATTCAGAAAACTCAAGAAACAAAACTGCAAGTGATGTTTTAATCTTATTTAGACCCAAATGAAACATTCTATTAAAATGCTCCCAGTTCATCCAGTATTGACATAATTAAGATAAAATGTGCATTTAAAAAAAATAATCTTTAACATTGATAAGATTTCACCTCCAGCTATTGACATGTGCCATGATACAAGAAATAGAAATGTACAAAAATTGTAAAAGTATTGTTTACTAATACTAGCTGCTAAGCCTGTCAAATGACAGGCACACTTTAAAAAAAATTGTTTAGTTGGATTTTCACTTGTCTACGTCAATGCTGAAGGATAAGTTTCATAAAAACAACATGGAATCTCAAAATAAACTATTTCATCTCAATTGAGTACCCTTGATTCAATGGCACCATTTAAAACATTTGGATTTATGTGGATCTAAATACTTATTTTTGATGAGTTTCATGCAGATTTAGGTAATTAGCTCTACATGTCCAACCCCAACCCTATTTCACTCTGTCTTCACATGCAAACTCCCGACCACCCCTTCTTAACATACCACTTACCTACAAACTCAAATTGTACTTATTGTTAGTATTTTTTCAAGAAATCAGTTTCCCTTTACTCAGCCCACTCTAACACTTGCTGACTTAAGCTTACTAAATGTGCTGGCTGAGGTGTAGTGAAGAAGAGATAAGCTGAGGAGCTTTACTACATTCACTTACTCTCTACATTGTTAGTGCTATACGCTTTTGGTCATAATTCATGAACTCGTTACACTCTTCTTAATACTACACTTATCCCTAACTTAATTGAACATAATAAAGTTCACTGAACTGAAATGCTACCCAAGTTATTTCTTTAGCTAATTTTCATGACAGCTTTTCTTTTTACTGGTCTTTGCCTTTTTCGGCACTGTTTACTTACTTTCACATGCAGGCTGTCCAAAACAAAACCTGTTTAGTGGGTTATATGCTCACATTTCGGGTTATAATAGTAAAACTATATATTTGATCTTGTTGCATTTTGCTTTTGTATTTTCATCAACAGTCACTTCGGGTAATGGCCCGTCTAATGAAAGAATGCTGGTACAGCAATGCTGCTGCCCGTCTTACAGCTCTTCGCATCCGGAAAACCTTGTCATCCTTGGCCGAGCATGAGGACATTAAAATTTGAGACATGGTTCTTCTATCTATAAAGTATCTTACAAAACATACAGTTCATTAGGCCAGTTTTAGTACAAGTATTCAGGATATAAAATATGTATTTAAGTATATAGTCTTTATATTATATGTATTTCTGTGGGTAATTTTTATAATTATCATGATTTGAATTAATTTTCACTAAAAAGTTTTAATAAGAATGTATTTCATGACAAACAATGAAAACTTATAGGCCCTACATAATTGGAAAAAAATAATTTTTAAATTTATTCATTTTTCAGTTATTATAAAGTACTGCTAAACCTTGGACTGTCTTTTGAAAATATAAAATGTTTGTGTTCATGCAGTTTTTCTAAATATTTGATTTGTGCAAAGAAAGGCTTTTTACCATAAAGTTAAATAAACTGCATTTTAAAGAAAAAGTGATACCCATTACTGTATAATTGTTTTTTTTCTCTAAATTGTCTAAGTATAGTTCAAATTTTTAAAAAAAATATGTTGAGAAGTCTATGTAAAGCAATATAGGCAATTACTTGTATGCCTCTTTACATAAGGATTGAGTACTGGTACAAGATTGGATTTTATTTTTCTATTGTATAAACTCTTTTTTTTGTATTGTCATTTTTTTTTTGTAATGGCTTTGTTCCGTTTGAGTGGAATTGCTTGTATATTCCAATATTTGTTGGGTGTTTTAGGTATAAAAAAAATATTGGTTATTTTGTTACATTGTGACAAACATTTCTTATTGTGTCAAGATTACATTGTTCATATACAATTGTGTCCATTCCTGCCTATGTATTGAATAGGGAGGGTGAAAATAAATTTTATGTCTTGATGTAATGTGTAGATTATTTACTTTCATATAAATTTAAAGGGCATAAAATAATTGGTTATACTATACTTTGTGAAATTAAACATGATAGAAAACATCTTGAAAAATAAAATAACAAATGAAAAAATAATTTAGCCTCTTAAATATTTAATAGATAAAATCAGGATTTTAAAACTGTTGAAAGTGTTATAACACTTTCAGCTATATTTTTGTGGGTTGTTGAAAGAGATATTATTAATGACTGTTGACTTTTTAAAAAAAAAACTTATTTTCCATTTCAAATGGCAAATGTCTTTTTGTATAGTTTTCCTGTCTATGTTTAGAATGGGTAAAATTGCTCTTGGGAATCATAAAGAATTTCTGAAGGATACTCAGTTGTCTTGAGAGTTGATATTGCATATTTTAGGTTGATAATTGCATTTTTGTCATTTTCAAATATGTTTAAGTTGTACAAAGAGCACTTCAAAAATGTTAAGGCAAATTTGTAGTTTGTAGATCTATTTTTAAATAGTGATACAGAAATTATGTACATAACAAAAATGTATTGTTTCTCTTCAATTGTAAATGTTGTGAGTCTTAATAAATTAATGTTTATATTTTATGCACAAGTCATGGTTTTTAAACTTGATAGAAAATCTTTGTTTTGTTAAATTGTTAAAGCTTTTAGGGTTCTTTTATGTTCAAGTTTAAAAGTGAGACATGAAATATCTTTAAATTATAGAGATTATCTAGTGAACTAATGACTTTAGTTCTATCCTAATCACATTAAGATGTGAATAAAATTTTAAGATGTAAGTGATCCAAGTGCCTTCCCTGGTTCTTTATTGACTTGTTTAAAAGATTTTTTACTGCTTCTTTCATGCCAGTGTATTTTAAATTTTCTTTTTTTACCTGCTATTTGTAGCAAACATTTCCAGTGTTGTGTGGCTTTACAAGACCTAACTTTTAACCAAGTTTTAGAAGGCAATTTGCATTTTAGTTTATTCTTTGCATAACTTCAGGTCTAGTTGTTGGAAATGATTGATGATAAATCCCCAGACTTTCAGTTATCAACAATGATGGATGTATGATGTCTAAGAGTTGTATAGTTTGTATACTAGTGGTGTATATAAAGATGTAAATGAAAATAAAATTAACCCATTCAATGTGTTGTTTTGTTTTACAGTTAATTTTTCTTTCTTTTAAATTTCTGCTGTTTTTTTTCTCAACTAGTAGGCCTACTTGACAATTAGGTATTAAATGTCATACATATTTTTTAACCACCTTCATCACATCTATTAAACTAGCCACAAAGGTATCACATTTTGTGCACACTTTGTTTACAGATGTTTGGTCTACCAGACTTAGGTCTACTGACATATAGTTTGTCTACCTAGGTGTAAAAATTAGGTTTTAAATTTTTATGTAGATCTAGTATAAATTTGGTAGACTAAATCTAAATGTTGGCATCTTCTTACTAGACTTGATGTCTCTGGACAGTTATAGTAGATATCTCTATCCAAATTGTTATGGAGTCAGCCACATCATTTTCTTTATTTTAAACTTAAAATTGCAATTTTGAAAAAAAAAATGGCTTTAACATTTTAATACATGAATAATACCCATCTTCCACTCATTTTACTCTGCATAAAGATAAATAAATCTGCAAGTGTACAAATATTTGTGTCTATTTATTAAACCAAATTAACATTACAAAAGAATCCTGTTGAAGAATGGTTAACAATGGGAACGAGTACATTTTGGAAGACATTTTTACCATTATGATAATTAAAGAGTCAACCTAGAAAAAGGGTTTGCTTATATATATATATATATATATATATACATATAATACATATATATACGTATATATACATATTGATATATATATTTATTTATATATATATATTATATATATATATATATATATATATATATATATATATATATATATGCCTAAATTAAATTACTGCCAATTCTGAACACAAGTTCACATATCATGTTTTCTTTTAACTAGATTGAAATGCTTTTTAAAAAGCATTACTTGAGGATTTTGCTGGAATCGTATTGAATGAGTGACATTCTACTTCTCTTTGCCTTTCTGTAACCACACTTGAACAAACTCTTCATAGTTTATCTTCTTGTCAGCATCTTTACACCAATAGCACAGCAAATCAGCTATTTTAGAGGCCTTTAACTTCAACTCGAATTCAGACTTGAGAGCATCAAGTATTTCTTCCTTGGTCAAAAAGCCACTGCCATCTGCGTCAAGCTTCACAAACACTTGTCTCATTACGGTAGCCTCCTGCTGCACGCCAAACACATACAGAAACTCTTCATAGCTCACCTAGTGCAGAAGTGAAAAAAAATGTAACAACCCTTGTAATATGCTTTTGAATGCACACAAAAATGGGAAAATAAATGTAAGGCTACTGACAAAGTATGAAGCACCGGCATTCTTTAGAATGTCTAAGCATTTGTACACAGTCCCTATCGTCATGCAGGGTATGAAATATCTGCGAGTTTTTTCTATACTTTTCCTAGGGAGTCATCCATAAATGACGTCACACTCGTAGATGGAGAGGGGGGTTCCGTAATTTTGTGACGGTGTGTGTGTGAGGGGGGGGGGTTCATATGGTGTGACGTCACACTTTTTCATTATAAAAAAGAAATGCTAGAAAAAGAATTTTAGCCGTTATTTCGCGTTTTAGAAAACTGTATAAATATAAATAAATATATATAGGGCCTATAAATAAATTCTAATAGGAAAATACTCTTTGTTGACAGAGTTCAGACAAGATTTGGAAAAAAAAATTCGCTGTTTTAAGAAAAATTCAACTGCAATTTTGAGGGGGGGGGGGGGTTGCAGTAGCGTACGCAGGGAGGGAGCAGGGGGAGCGGCCGCTCCCCCTCTGGCCATTTTCAGCAAAGTGGCGCCTTTTTGGAAACTTTTTTAACTCAAAGTTTTAAACAATGATATTTGTTAAAAAATATTTTTGGTCGACACATCTATGTAAATCACAAGATTTCTTTTCATGCAGCAATTAAGCATTATTGTACTAGTCTAGTAGTGTCTACGTTTACAACGCGTATTAACAGCTGCATCAGTTTGCCATTCTAAAAATAACCATTACGATGCATTGGAATTTTTAAAAATTCTCTACCGGTAGTACCACTTGGCAAGAGGGGTGTTAAGTTTAAGGCAACTGTATAATGTATTTGCTTGCGAATAATTGCATTAGAAAATGTTATACATAAAACTTCACACATAATTACTTTATATATCCCTTTATCTACTGACGGTACTTATAAGTACCACTTTAATTAAATGCCTGTATTATTTTTACTTTAATACGAATTTTAAAAATTATTGAAGTAATTAATAGTATTATCTCCCCTGAATCGCCGGTAGTCGGAGGTATCAATGTTTTTTGAAAATTACTGGTGTGGCGCAATTTTCAATGTCTTGCTATATCGGTAGTTCACAATTTTTCTGTACATTTCTCACATACGTTCTTGATTTCCCTTTGTTTTACCTTATTTTTCAAGTTTTCAACACCAAATATTTTTTATTGGCAACTTCAATAGTCAGGCAAACGCATTTAACTTCTAGTTATACAATTTTAATCAAATTGTCTTTGTATTAGATCGATGTTTACAAGTGGACTTATAAGTACCGTCAGGGCACACGGTCATTTTTTTAGGATTTTTAGAAAATGGCAGATTTCTTATGTGGAGTTACATAAATATTGTCTTGATAATTAATTATCGATATGTACTCAAAAAAATGATATTTACACATTTATAAGAAGTTTAGCATATGGTTTACCTAAGAAATATTGTAATTACATGTTAATTTCTAGTAGTAAAAAAATAACAAGAATAAAGGTATTAGTTGCAGGCTCGTTTACAAGGTTTAGTTTACTTCATTTGTATACCAAAGCCTAGTTCTAGTAGTAAGATTTAATTTGTTAGTTATATTTACTGCACTAAATTGTCTTGCCTACAACAACTAGCATTTACGTAATGTATACATGTAGGCTAGTAATAGTCCATACTTCTGCATATAGTATTGATCTATATGGTAAATTTTAATCAGTAAACAGAAAGGAGTAGGCCACTACGGCTTTCCTAAACACATTGAGCTCACTTCTATTTATGAACTTTGCACTGTAGACTTGTCATAACATTCTAGTAGGCTACAATTATACTAGTATTACTTGTAGTTGCGTGCTGAATGACTAGGCTTTTGTTTGTTAATGCGGCTCATTGTACTAGCTATTGGAAGCTTCCAGCAAAAGCATATTCATTCCGGCAACTGTTGCTACACCAGAAAGACCACAGACAAGATTTAGGGAGCATGACATGTCGACTACTTTTGCTGTGTTTGAGGTCTAAGATGTGTTCCTATAGAAAATCCAGTAAAAATCGTACTCAAAATATTCTTTTGTGCTGTATTTATGTGTGAAAATTACAAAAAGTGATTGTTATAATGATTGCCATGTTATTAGTTAATAAATTGTATCGTTTGTTCCTGTTTTGTAAAAAAAAAAATTTTGAAAAAAAAATGTCCTAGTTTACTGACGGTACTTATAAGTACCAATATCTGTTTGGGCCATTAAAAATTTATGAAACGAAATTTCCTTCGATATATGCTTTGAATGCGCCAAAAGCAATATAGTAACACATTGTTTAAGTAAAAATCTCATTCAGAACATAATTCCATATACAGTTTGAATCGTGTGATTAATTTTTTGAAAATTACAATACAGAAACAAATACAACTGATGTGGGGAAATTTTGATACGGTCAACAACGTCATCACGATGAAGTAGTAGTATTCTTACAGTTTGGGCGATAATTATACGATTAAAAATTATATGAAACAGTTACAAGTACAACCCCCTCCCCCATGGACCCCTCTGTAAAAAAAAATATTTCATAATACCACTGCTACTTATTTAAATCTATTTCCGAATCAGTATACATCTGTAATATATATGTATGTTTAGAACAGTCATCTAAAACTGACGCTATGTTCACTCTGAGTTGGTTATCTTCCCCCCCCCCCCCCCACACACACACCTCACCACCACAATTGTGTAGAGCGACATTAATGTCACACCTAGGTATGCACTGGGTTGGATAATTGACCTAAAGTGACCGGACAGTAAAAAGGTGTGTGAGCAATACAGTGATCTAACCCATACCTATCACATTGTTAAAAAATGATCTTTAAGGAACACAAAGAAGCAGTAGTTAATTAAAAAATATATGATCTGAACTAAAAGACCAATATTTCGATATATGTAGGCTGTTATTCCGAATATTTTTCTATTATATCGAAATGCGCTGTTATTCCGAATGTTTTATCTATTATATCGAAAAGCGTGGTTTTATACCAAAAGCTTTCATTATGCTGTAATACTTTAGCATTTATGATGACGATATATTTAATTCTGATTATAGACAAAACATTTTTTAACACAAATAGTGTTAAACAAATTCATTATATTCTAAAGTAATTATCTATTTGTTTTGACATTTATAATGAAACGTGTAGATATATACATATTTATAAAAAGAGAGTGATTATTTCCCCTATTTCACTTGTCTTAAATAAATTCCCAGGAATTATTATGTAAGAAATTTTTTTACAAGAATTACAAAACCGATTGTGTTACGTTCATTGTTTTTGGTTGTAGTGTGTGTATATTTTTTTGTTTTTTTTTTTGTTTAGATTGATACAATTTTTGTTTTGTCGGCCTACATTGTGTTTTTTCTTATTTCTTCAGAGTGCTACTTTCAATTTATTTTACATCATAGCGAAGTAATGACATACAGCTAGTAATATATATATATATATATATATATATATATATATATATATATATATATATATATATATATATATATATATATATATATATATATATATATATATATATATATATATATATACACGTATATAGAACGTGTTAAAATTTCGGCGCCTTTTTTTTTTCTTTTCGCTCCCCCTACAACGAAAACCTGGATACGCCTCTGGGGGGTAGGTTTAGGTGTGACGTCGTTTTAGGAGGTGGATCTGGCTCTTTGTGACGACGTGTGACGGAGAGGAAGTGGGAGGTAAAAAAAAATGGTTAAAAAAGCGTGACGTCTTTTATGGTT